GAGATTTAAATCTGTCAATATTTACTCTTTCTCTCTCACTATTTTTGTTAATTCCAAGCATTAATTTATAGAATGTAGATCTCAATAGAGATAAATATAAGGTTTCCTACAACAATGGATCAATAACTATTGCTTAAAGTAAAAAAAAAAGAAAAAAAAAGACGCGGGAAGAAATTTGTTCAATTAGACATACATTATTACATATAGGAAAGAGGATAATTTTCAATGCAATAAATATCGAGTTTGAAAGTTCGAAAGTTTTATTAGAATACGCATTATAATATTAAGTATTATACGTATATTATAATACGTAATACGTATTATACGTATACTTACGTTATTATACGTATTTTACGTATGTTATAATACGTAATACGTATTATACGTATACGTATATTGTAATACGTATTATGCGTATACTTACGTTATGTTACGTATGTTACATATACAAATACTTACGTATTTTACGTAAGTTATAATATGTAATACGTATTATACGTATATTGTGTGTGAGACTAATCCCCTCACTGTCTAGCGGCAGCTAGACATTATCAATGAGTCCATACACTCTCAAAAAATTCAGGGCAAGCAAAGGGTCCGTCGCGAAAGTCTCTTTGGAAATGTTAAGACAAGCCAGAATGTGCTCCGGGGACGCACTTTGCACAAACCGGGAAAACCCTGTTGCCATTGCGAAAGGAGCCACTCCTCAGGTGGCCGCTGGTAAATCTCGACAGCGCCGTCTGGTCGCCTCTATCGCAGGGAAGGCCAATGGAACCCGCAGGACCAGGGTTCGAAAAACCGCCCGTCCGCCCGTCCTCGGCTGTCAAAAATTCACCGCGGACGGCAAATTTCTCGAATCCAACGTCCGCGCGGACGGCCATTTTCCCGTTAATTTTCGTGATATATTTTCAATTTTTGTTATCTTTCAAGAGTCTAGCTCCTCACTTCTAAAATGACCCTCTAATCTCGAAATACAGCAACATACTGATCATGGTGGAATTGATGTTTTCTCTGTCTGGGAGTACTGCAGCGGTTGAAAGGGGCTTTTCAGCAAAAAAAAAAAAAACACATTACGTATTGGTCTTAAACAAGAAGCGTCAACCACAATTATGAACATCTACCTAAATGGAGAACCTCTTTCAGATTTGTGCAGAAACCACTGTAAATCATTGGCTTGATTGTGGAACTGGCAAACGTCGTATTTGATTCATTTAAAAAACGCAGTACCATCGGATAAATTGACATGATAATTGACAGATAACTTGACCTTTGTTATTAACATTATTTCATTAAATAAATAAATTATTTCATTAAAGAAATACTAAGTTTTACTATTAGTAGCCTAGCATTTCTTTTATTACTGTATAATGTTATCCTAGTATTTGTAATCCTAGTAACTACTAATTCAATGTGCAATTTATATAAATGTTAGTAATAAATAAGAGAAAATTATATTTTTATTTATTTAGAAGCGACGGGTTAGTTTCAAAGGAGGACGGGTACATCGTTGGACAAGCCGTCCTCGGGACGGGTAAAATTTCTGAGTTTTTTCGAGCCCTGCGCAGGACATCTCTGCCAATACCAATCATGGGATGGAGGGACCCTCCAAGACTTTAAGTCATTGTTTTTCCTGATGGAGTAAAACTCGTCAAAAGTCAGTGAGGTAACTGAATACAATGGCCCAACCGAGCCCTGCTTTGCCAAGTCGTCAGCGACCTCATTTCCGTAAATCCCCTACATGCGAGGAAATCCATTGGAGGTGCACTTCGTGAACCACAGCAATCTGTTTAAGTAATTTCAAAAATAGCGATGCTAGTGCGGCCACCAACATTAAACCAGTCCTTCAAGTGCTGCAATGAACTCTTGCTATCAGACAAAATCCATACCGCTCTATAATTAGTTTCATTCAAAATGACCTCAAGACCGGCCTCAATCGACAACAGTTCGCTTCTAAACACCGAGCAATTGTCCGGGTTTCTAATTTCAATTTTTCTGACTTCGCTATTAGGAGTCTTAAATGTATACTCCACTCCCGGATTGTTGTTCTTCATTTTTGCTCCCATCTGTGTAAATTTGGATATCTACTTCAGGGATTTCGTTGATTATCTCAAGTGCCAACTGCCTCGTAAGATCCGGGACTGTACTTGCTTTATTCACAGCCTGCTGTAGTTCGGTACTCCCCTTAATCCCTCCGATGGATCAAGATAATATTACGTATATTGTAATCCGTATTATACGTATACTTACATTATAATACGTAATACGTTTATACGCATTATACGTTTATACGCATATACGTTAGAAATACGTATTAATTTTTTTTCAGAAATAGATTCTTTTATAATTTTGAATTTATTTGATAGACGAATCAAATAATATTATTTACTTATTCAATGGAAAAATATTTATTTCAATTTTAAATGTATAAGAAATTCTGGATAATATGAACAATTCTGTAATTTACAAACAATAATGCAATAACATTAATAATAACAATAATGATAACATTAATAATGTAATAACATTAATAATAATAATAAACATTACCGCTTGATAAATAGTATGAGTGACCATCAGGAAGTTTCAAGATCGGCAATTTTTTCCTTTTTCACTCCTTATTTAAATTTAATTTTCCTGTATACAAATTCTCTAAAATTTTTGTATCTAGTTTTTTTCTCAGCTTTTCTTCATTATTAAATTACTGTTCTGTATTAAACAATGTTAAAGATATTTTTTTAACGTTTTTTCACAAAATATTAGTTTTGGTTATTAAAATTAAATTAATGTTGTGTTTTTGCCTTTTAATTCAATCATCCTTAAAAAAATAAATACAAAATAAATGTGAAAACAATATAAATGTGAAAATAAAAATTGCATCATAGATTTATTGTAAATTCATTTTGTTGGTCAGAGAATTAAGCCCAAACGTTGGCATCACCTACAAAATGCAAATTGTCAATACGTTCACTTTCTCCGTTTGTATTAATCAAAAATAAAAACAACCAAAAGAAAGAAAAAACAACCCAATAAAACATCTAAGAAAAGAAAAAGGCTTATTAATTCGTCGTATTTTCTCACGAATTGGAATTATACAATATTCGCTTTTGTCCTTCATATTGAGATTTATTTTCATTCATAAAGTGACTGTTTTACAATAAATATAAAATTACTAACTCAATCTTAAAAAATGGTCAGCTTATCATTTCTTTATATATTAAGTACAGAGTAGAAAAATTGAATATTGTTCATGGTTACATGCTGAAACAGTCCATAAAAAACAATACCTGGGAATTACTGATTACGTTGCAGTTCGTTAATTACTTTTAGTTTCAACAGGAAATTACAGGACAGTTTGTCGGAAAACATGTAGCTAAAAGGCATATCATTGCTGGGGAGTACACTCAAATTACTCAATTAATTGAAAAGTACAAAAGTACTCAATTCCTTGAATAGTGCACTCATATTCCTTAATTACTTCAATAGTACACTCTAATTTCTCAATTACTTGAATAATACATTCAAATTATTTGAATAGTACACTCAAAATACTCATTAATTGAGTAGTACATTCAAATTACTCAATTATTTGAATAGTACACTTAAATTTCTTTGAATTCTATGTGAGTTAATTTTTTTCCTAAAGAGGTTTTTCTATCACACTGCTGTTAAGTAAATGTTGGTAAATGATATTCATTAGAATATCCTTTGTCTTAATTTGAAAAATTTTTTTTTTGAATGTGATATATTATTATAGAAGAATTTGAATTATCAAATTATGTATATTTTTGAAAAAACAGACGATATTTTTTGTTTTAAAAATATTTTACACCAATGAATTGAATTCAGCGATGCAAAAGATTTTTAGAACGAAATTTGTATTATGCGAAAAGAAATCAATCTCTAAAACATGATAAATTCAATTGTGATGATGATTTAAAAGCAAAACAATGCTTTTGGCTCCATGCAAACTTCAAATAGATCAGTAATTTTTACCGAAACATTTTGGAAATCATTTTTGCAAAATTGAAAATTAAATATGATCGTATAATATGTGATAAAATTTGGTAAATCCGGTATGATACCGTACAGTATGGCTGAAAAACCATTTATTTGGTTAAAGTTTCTTTTCTGATTTGTATTTTTAGTTAAATGTGAGGTAATAAGAACAATAATTTTGATTTGGTTTTATTAACCAAGATAATTTTTATTTTTTATTTCCCAGTAACTTCATCTATGTTATCTTTAAAATATTTGAAGAAATACAATTGTCTACAGTTAAATTTAAAACAATGTCTAGCGCTTAACCAATCAGAAAATTCAATTTAGTTTTTCTCTCATCGCTCGAACGGTTCGTCATAAAATGTTCTAATGTCGACAGTGACTTTCCTCGTGCTTCAAACTGTATGTATGCCGAATTTCATCACGTTCTATTGGATGGGTTAAAAGTTAATGAAGGACACACAAACAGGCAATAAAGCAAGTGTATGCATATAGAGTATTATAAACAATAACACATTATAATTAACAAATATACTACTTTCCTAAAATTAGTTACTTAAAAGTCTGAATAACTTTTTCCAAAGAGAAGACAAACAGAAAGGAGAATGCTATTAAATTTTCTAAAGTGATATATTTGTAATAATTGGATATAATAAAAATGATAACTTTTTTAAAAAACGCTAGTTTGAACATTTATTTCAAAACCACAAATAATCCAAAACATCATATTTTTTCTTCAATTAATAAAACATTCCAAAGAAAAACTTCGGAGATTATAAAATAATAAATAATAACTTACTTCTTTCACGTAATAATAAATGTTGTGACTTAATTGGATAAAGTATATCATCTTTAACAAGCTTCTGTTATTTCTGCCTTTGTAAATTTATCGTTCAAACGTTTATAAACAATGTTTCTGTCTCGCTAGAAGTCGTAATCACTTACATCATATAAGCGATCGAAATTTTTACATCTCTTTAGTTTTTATTTTGCAAAAAGGAACGAAAAAACTTACTTTTTCAGTTGGAGAAAAAACAGATCGAACATGGTTAAGCACCATCTTGGAATCACGGATTATGTTGTTATAGGCGTTATGTTATTAATATCTGTAGGCATAGGAGTTGTTGCAAAATATTATGGGAGTCAAAAATCTGCAAGAGAATACTTATTGGCGGGAAAACAGATGGCAAAACTTCCTGTTATGTTGTCAATAATTGCAACTGGTACTTCATCTACATCGTTAATAGGTGCACCAGCCGACATTTACAAGTATGGTTTGGCATTTATTTCGTCTTTGCTTTTATATCCTCTGGGGTTATATTTGGCGTCTTCTATCTTTATTCCTGTGTACTACCAATGTGGTGTATCAACAGTCAATGAGGTAAAACCGCATGCTATATGCTGAGTATCTCGCAAAACATATATGTTACATGTTGAGTTTATATATTATATGTTGTGTCACACATACATGCTATATGTTGAGTCACGAACATATATGTTATATGTTACCCATATATTTGAACTTATTTTGGAAAGGATGGGTACTTCAAGCCCAAACTTCAGTGATCTATTTTATTTTATGACCGTTGTTAAGCAGCCGACCCATTTTTGAGTTAACAACAATCAATGTTTAACTCCGCAATCATGTAATTTTGAGCCCATCTCAGAGGACAATGGAACTCCTGGATCAAGCATTGCGGCAAACTAGCCATCGTGCTGAATTTTTTGATGGAACCACCCGTATTTGTGCTACACGGACAGAAAAACCACGAAAACCACCCACGGTTATCTCGATGGCAAGGGGATTCCATCCCATGATCCGTCTGCCATTGAAAATATTTTAAGTCAATGAGGGTAATTTTGAGGTCGGTGCGAGCTGGGAGCAGAATTCGTGTCAAGCAGTTATCGCTTAGATTCGCGTTTGTCTCCAACTGAATCTAGCCCTTGTCACATAACACTCTTCAATCTATGCAGCCCATGAAAGTTAATCTTCATGTTTCCTATAGTTTTGTTTGAATATTTAATGCACCCCATGCTAATTTTACATTTCATACATTTCGCAATACCTCTTGATCGATTTGCATGTTTCTGTTAAACAAACTAAACATGTTTCTGGTTTGTCCGATGAACACAGGAATATTCAATAAAAAAAGAAATACTCAACTGCCCGTATGTGTATCCCGTGCACTGATTTTCAACTAAAAAACATAAGTTTTATAAGTTTAAATACCACTAAATAATGGTTTTAAAGTTTAAGTTGGATATTTTTTTAAGTTTAATATACGGCCCAGTAGTCTCGATACCGATATTTTTCATAATAGAATTTTTTATAAAAAATAACAACCAAACAAGCAGCCCTTTAGATTAAAATTAGCGTTTCATAAAATAATAAAAGCATTTATCGAAAGGAGATGTTATTTTTCTTTCGTTTTAAATTGAGTAATATTTAAAAAAATTGGCTTTTTCCTCCAAAGTGAGATATATAAGAAAGTAAGAAATGTATTTAAATAGTGGGAAACGTATCTATCATTGCATAGATTCACTGTAAACAAGGGTTTTGTAAAATTGAGAATTATTGCAAAAATATGAAATTTTATTGCAAAATTACTTGAGAATGAGTACACGGAGTTTTCAAATTCCACTATCGAAACTCTTTTTTAGGCATTTTTAGGGAAAATGTGCAATATGAGAATAAACACAAGTAAATTTAACATTGCATATTTAGATGTATCTCGAAATTGGAATGTTTTGGACACAATTTTAAAATTCGTTTATCCAAAGATAAATCCACGCAAAAAATAATTTTTAGTAAGTATTTATTATTTCTTATTATTTTATTTAATAATAGTCGAAAAATTTTGAATTGTAAGGCAAACAAGTTTTTTACAACATTTAAAAGAATGTAATTTTAAATGATAAAATACTAAATTTGATCGAAATCCGTCGAATAGTTCCTGAGAAATTGATTTTTAAAAAAGTTCTGACATTCAATTTCCCAGGAGCTATCGGACTGATTTCGTATTTTGCCTTTTGAATTTGTATTCCTTAAATTGATGTGAGAAATTGTGTACCTTACATGGCAAAATTTTCAAGTAAAATAAGGAAAAACAATAAATATTTACTAACAATTATGTTTTGCATGGAATTATTTTTGGATAAACAAATGTTATAATTACGTGCAAGGATTTCCAAATAGCTTAAAAATGTTTTCGAGATATAGTGAAATACGCAAAAAGTAAAATAAAGGTTAAAGACTCCAAATTTTGCTCCGCGTTCCTTATCTAACTATTGGGCCCATATTTCTCAGATTCTTTTTTCCCTTTATTTCAGAGATCAAAAAATCGAAACAAAAGGGATATTTTTTCAGAGAAAGTACGTTTCTGCGTTTATTTTTTGTTAATTTAAAATGCGTTTGATCTTAATTTAAATTTACAAAACTTGAAAAGGCTGCAAAATTCATTGAAATAGTAAACGTTAAAAATGTCCACAGACCAAACCGGAAGTAAAAATTCAGTATTTGCACACACGAAGCAATTTTAAATTATGTTAATTTTAAATCTACCAAATCTTTGGAAATTTTGTTTTTTCTTTCGAATTCATTGTGACTTTTGCAAAAAAGTTATTAAGAGTTCAAAAAATACCGCTCTCTCCCTTTCTGAATATTGTAATCTTTAAAGGTGTTTGAAACAAGAAGTAAGGTAAAATATGGAATGCATTAAATTTATAAATTAAAAAAAAATGACCTCCAAGTTTTCGAGAAAAACAGTTTTTAAGGGAAATTTTTAACAATTTTTCAGAAGAAAGTAGTAATTAGGTTTGACATTTTCGTTACAAATACTTGTACTTTTTCCCCCCAAAAAGTAACGGAAAAACATGCAAAAGTATTAAATTACGAAAGAAATGAAGTACCAGCAAAATTATGTACTTTTTACTTACGTTTTACCAACTTTTCGTTACATGTAACGAAAGTATTGCCATGCATGTTCAGCACCAATATATCAATAATTGTTTTGTCTGTGTGTGTAATATGTCTGTTTGTATAATATGTGAAACTTCTGAAGTATCCTGTAAGTTTTGGATATTATTTCCTGTCGGTATACCATCAACATTTACTATTTGTATACTCGTGTTCAATCAATGAAGAGTACAAACTGTAAGGAGGTATATGTGCAAAGAAGTAATTTTAACTTAGACTTAAATAATTTTTGAATCAACTTTGAAGAATTTATGCTATTTCGTAACCTTTTTGATAAAGCGGTAACATTTTAATACTGCACTTCGAAAAAAAGTATGGTCAAAGCTACCAGAAAATGAAAAAATTAATCGTCTTTATCAATCAAGAAAATCTCTTTAATTTTTGCTGAAGAGCTTTGCTAATGATTTTGATAAAATTGGAAATAAAATATGGTTTTATAATATGTTATAATTTTATCGCTATAGCTTAGAATATGACGTAAAGGTCATTTTTCGGTATTTTTAATTAAATGTGTGGCAATAAGAACTATAATCTCGAAAACCTGAATTTCCAGTAAACCGTTACCATATGAACAAAAAATTGCCAAATCAATGATTTAAATACCGTATATTTTAGTTCTATTAAACCTGAATTATGTTTTCCTTCTTACCAAGTCATTGCCATACAGTACAATAGTTTTACCGGAAATTTTTTCTCAGTACACAGTGAGAAAAAATTCTGGTACTATTGTGTTCCTTATTATCCTCAAAGTTTTTACCATGGTGCCACATATTTTAAAAAATCTGCCATGGATTAATACTGCATTCTGTATTTTGTATGAAATTTATAAAATATTCTATAATTCATTGTTGTTAATTAAAATAAATTAATTTAATTTTTTAAAAAATAATTTAAAAATGAGAAAGCAATGTAATTAATTATTCGAAATATATCTGTGGGACCAAAAATTTACAATTTTATAAGCCGTATATAATTTATGCATACTACCATAGTTTCAATTAATTATTTACACATCTTAAGGAACTATGATAAATTTGTAGCTTTATAAACAATTTTTAATGTAAATAAGCATTTAAAAAAGAACAGCAATCATTATGTACTAGTACTTTATTCGTATCGCCCTAGAGCAGCACAGTGGGCTATTGACTGAGGTCTGGAAAGCATCTGCAAATAGGATGATTCTAGGACATGTCATCATAATATTAACCCGCGTGGAGGGAATGGCTACCCCCTTTAGAAGCGGAACTATGTGCAGGAAGTCGAGCACTTAACGGTAGAACAGTTTAAGGAGGACTGATACAGCACACTCTCATGCCCTTCGCAGACAGATCAATTTAATCACGCATCCCGCACACTAAATGCATCCTGGGATGCTTATCTTTGGTGAACTACTGGGAACCGTGAAAAAATAAATTCTGGTTAAATTACCCTAGTGTATGATAGTGATATTTCTATTTCTTTTTTTTTAAAAACCATACAACTTAAATTTGGTGTTAAATATCTAACTATATGGTATCAAAATTAACACACATTTAGTAAAAATTTAAAAAATTAAAAAAAATTTAGCAAATAAATGGCTTTAATGTCATGCTTTAAGTTATCAAGATAAAAGCATCCAATTTTACCTCATTTACCAAATTTCATCACACATTATAAAACCGTTTTTTAGTCTTCATTTTACCAAAATCATTACCAAAACACTTTGGTAAAATTTATTGATCTTTTTTATGTTTCCATAGAGCCAGAAAATCTGTACACTTTACCGTATTCTGGTAATTTGGATCATTAATTTTTTCATCAGTGTAGGATCAGTCTACCGTGGAACAGTAATATTATGTTAAATGTAATATAATAAGCCTTAATTTAAATTTACAAGACGACATGACTGGAATTGTTAATGCAGGCTTATAAAATAAGAAACTTTTCGATTTAGAGACTGAAGTTTTAAAGTTTATTTAGTTTTAAATCCAGCTCAAATAGAACAACTTTTTACACACAGTTTCACAAAAAGTTTTCTTTTGTTGTAAGATTTTTCAATACAATTTCCACAATACTTAGTTTATGTTCGAATATAAATCAGAATCTCTTATATTTTTTGGGGGGAATTGACACAGTTGTGCATTAAAAGACATCATACATAAATTATTCCTGATTACCAAACGTAAAGCAACAAAAAAGAAATGGAATTTCCTGCAAAATATATTATACTTATTTTCGATGTATTTCTAAAGACTAAAAATTAATATTTATTATTTATGCAAAAATTTAATAATATATTATTCTTTTAGTTCATAGAAATGCGCTTTGGCAAAATAATGAAATTTATGATATCAACCTTCCTCCTTCTACAATTGGTAAGAATATATGTTGAAAGTTTCTTTCTATTGTTGGGCTATGCCATGTCAAGTTAAACCGAGTCTCAAAATTATCCATATTTAAATAAACGTCTTTAATTACTTACAGAAGAAATTTGGTGCGCAGTTATATGGAGTAGCTAAAATCAAAACAACTGGAAATAGGTGTATAAGTAGGGTGACCAGATTTTTTCGGGCAATTCCGGGGACACTCATCTCTACCCCCCCCCCAATTTTATAGACAGAGAAAATTGAAGAAATTTTTTATCTTAAAAAA